GAGTCATTTTTTAATCATGCTTGTTAGTTTAAGAAATACTCTGGATGTTCATGCGCATAATACACTGGAGACTGTGTAAAATTATCCAGTAAGGCTGGGTGCAAATGTCATCTGGGGAGGAACCGTAGAGAAATAGTAAGCCTACACTTAGGATACAGTAAGCTGGGGTGTAAATCTGTCCTGTGTTAGCCTGCAGCACATTAAGGGTGTGTCTAGACTACAGGGCTTTTTTGAAAAAACTTCCCCTGCGTCTAGATTGCTGCCGCGTTCTTTCGAAAGTAAATCGAAAGACCGCGGCAGTTTTTTTGACCTCGGAAAACCTCGTTTTACGAGGAAAAACACCTTTTTTGGAAGTGCTCTTTCAAAAAAAGGTGCTATAGAATGCAAACTGTGCTTTTTCGAAAGAGAGCATCGAGACTGCCTGGATGCTCTCGTATGAAAAAGCAGCTTGCTTTTTCGAAAGTACTGGTTGTTCTTCATCTAAAGAGATGTGCAGTCTAGACTTAGCCTAACGCACTGTGTGGATCCTGACTGAGGTGAAAACCAAGAACTACAGCGTGCTTTGATCTACCGGGCTTTGTGACGGGCGTAGCTTAAACGCCCGGGGCGACTTTCAGTGCCCAGTGGCATGGGCCCTGCAGCCCCTTACAGCATGTCTACACGACAGAAATTGACCCTTTAGAGGCCCATCTTCTAGTGTTCAATTTAGTGGGTCTAATGTAGACCCCCCCTCCGCATTGAACGCTGAGGGCAGCCCCCATCAGCGTCCTGTATTCCTCATTCTGTGAGGAGTAAGGCAAACCAACAGGAGCGTCAGCCTCCTGCGGTGTAGACACCGTGGTGGTTCAGCTTAAGGTAAGCTGAATCCAGCGGCGCATAGGTACACATGCCAGATTGCCACAACTGAAGTGTTCATGCGGACAAGCCCGAAATGGGTCTCTCCCAGACAGTGGGTGCAGGGACACTGGGTGCAGGGATGAACGATGAACCATCTATTCCCCTGGCACCGCTTGGGAGACTGAAACCTGCAGAGTGTTTGCTGTGTATTCTACAGGATCAAGAGTTTCCTTCAGAACAGCTGTAGAGCTGATTTCCAGGACTCTGCTGCCTTGGGCAGATGAACAGGGAAGGGAGGGAGGGGAAAAATGAGATCCAGGTTCAAGCTTCCAATGCAAAGCCAGCATCGAGAAGCCCAATGCTCAACTGCAGCTGAAAACGAGAACTTAAAAAAAAAAAAAGATGCAATTACAAAGCAGTAAACAAACTGTACTAGAACAAGGGCATGGTAACACCTGAGGAATAATTAACATCACGCAACGTGGCAAGTTGGGACCAAAGACATAATTATTACACTTACTGCACATCGGAGCAGGCCAAATTCTGCCCTGGCCTGCTTGTGTGCAGCTTCAGAGGAACGCTGGCTCTGCTTTGGAAGGTATCATTTCGCCGGATGGCATTTATTTTGCTTCTTGCCCCTCCCTTTGCTTCACTGTCCATTTGCCTTGGCTGCCGGCTGCGAGCAACGCAGTTTGCCAGCAACGTTTTCAATTCACTCCTCCGGAGTCAATGGGGTGGTATGTCACCCCAGTAGTTAATGTTTTAAAATTACACCGCACAAGGCCAGGCTGAAAAGAGGGACATTTTCCTCCTCCTGCTTCCTTTCCTTTGGGATATCTTAGGGTATGTCTAGACTACACGCCTCAGTCACCAGAGGCATGTAAATTAGACTACCCGACATAATCAATGAAGCGGGGATTTAAATATCCCCAGCTTCATTAAAATAAAAATGGCCACTGCGCTGTGCCGGATCTGCTGATCGTCGGCACAGTGCGCAAGTCAAGGCGCAGATTGGTTGACAAGGGAAGCCTTTGTCGACTGCTCCTGTAAACCTCGTTTCACAAGGCATAAAGGAGCAGTCGACAAAGGCTTCCCTTGTCGACCGATCCGCGTGTAGACTGCCCCGCCGTGCCGCCGACCCG